CCCGGGCCCCGCGCTTTGCAGCTCCAACCGGAAGCGCCCGGGCCGCCCCGGGTCGGCACTCAGTTGCAGCCTCCGCAGCTGCGCCTCGGTTTCCGGCACGGTGCCCAGCAGCCTCACGGCAGCGTGAACTGCCAGGAGCACGGCGGACGAGCCTGGCTCCGAGCCCGCAGGCGCCGACGAACCGCCCGCCGGCGGGGCCATCTCTGGTCTGGCCAGTCCCGGTCCTCCGAGCCCACTTCCGTGGGCTGGGCGTCCGAGGCCTCCGCCGGCCGGAAACCCAGACCGTAAGCCTGAGGTTCCGCGCGGCGCGGGAGCGGCGGAGGGCTGCGATACAAACCCCGCCGAGCCCACCCGCCCGTCTTGCCTAGGGATGGACACGGACTATGTTCGGCCCTAGAATCGACAGGAAACCATGTGTGGAGTGGCCATACGAGCTGGTCATTGAGGCACAATTTCTGCGCCTCGCCTACGGACAGGGCGGCAGAGGTTGTGCCCAGGCTTGAGCACAAGCGGCCACCTCGCCACCAGCCACAGGCAAACACCGTCCCTTTCCCGGCCCCCCGCCCCTCAGGCCCAGAGACGGTGGACCGTCGGCCCGCCCCTTCGGCCACCGAGCGCTTCGCCCACACGGAGCTGTCTGCGTGAGGCCACGCCCAGAGCGGTTCTCCGTCAGGGGCGGAGCGTTCCAGGGCAGGCCAATGAGCATCGAGGAGAAAGGCGGGCTCGCACGTCCAGGCGAGTGATGAACAGCCGCTTCGGCCAGTAGGAATTTAAGAGAAGATGAGCGGCGGGCAAGGTTCCCAATGAGAATCAGCGCTCTGCATCCCAGAGGCTGGAGCGGGCCATTCAGAGGAGCGGGGCCGGACCTTGCGGACGCTTGTTGTTGTCCAGCTGAAGGAGGCGGAGGTCGCTCGCTTGCGCGCTCGGTCGCTGGGGCGATCTGTGGCGGTCGGCGGGCAGTCGGTCGCAGTCGTTGGCGCTGTCCAGGGGGGCGAGGCTATGTCGCGGTGGCAGCTCGGACGGGCCGGCAAGGCCGGGAGTAACGGGACGTCGTCGCGGAGCTTCTTCCCCCGGATACAGTGCGGCCCGAGCGGAGTCCAAGTCGCCGTCCTCTGGTCGTGAGGAGCCCACACTGCCCGGAGCCCCCATCTCTCGCGCTCTCCAGCACCGACGCCTCCTGACCCGACCCCGTCGGCCCTAGACCGGCCCGAACAGGTAGGTGTCCGCCCTGCGCCCGGCGGCCGGCCCCGGGCCTCCACTGCAGCGCCCTGCGGGCTTCGCGCCAGTGCGCGTGCGCCGGAGCGGCCGCGCTGCTCGTCGGGAAATGTAGTCCGCGGCTCGTCCGCCGGGAGCCTTGGGGTCGCCCGGGCGCGCTGCTCGTCGGGAAATGTAGTCCGCGGCTCGTCCGCCGGGAGCCTCGGGGTCGCGCGGAGGAGCACCTCGCGAGGCCCAGGTCGCAGCCCCGGATGCCCTCGCTGCCCTGGCACCTGTCGGGGTGGGGAGCCCGGCGGGGTCCGAGGGTGACTGCATCAGCCCTGTCTCCCCCAAACCTCCAGGGGCTTCTCGTGGCTGGGAGGGCCCTTCAGCCCGTCCCCGGACTCCTGTAGGATGCGGGGGGCGGGGGTGCCAGCTGGACCGCCAGGACTCAGGGGGCGGGGCGCAGGCCGGTGGCACGGAGCCGGCCAGGTGCAGCTTGTTTACAGCGTGTCCACTTCCTGGGGCTGGAGGGCCACCGCGGGGTCCAGAGGCGGATTCCCAGGCCTGGCCTCCTGCCTCTCGCAGCATCGCCCCTCGGAGCACGCAGCCTTTTCCTGCAGACGGAGCATGAAGCTTTTGGAGAACTCAAGCTTTGAAGCCATCAACTCACAGCTGACCGTGGAGACGGGAGATGCCCACATCATTGGCAGGTGAGCTGGGTTCTGGGTGGTCACCACCCTGGCTGTTGGTAACGTGATCCAGGGTCACACCTGCGCGCACACGCACCCCACCCCACCCCCGCAGGATTGAGAGCTACTCTTGCAAGATGGCAGGAGACGACAAGCACATGTTTAAGCAGTTCTGCCAGGAGGGCCAGCCCCACGTGCTGGAGGCCCTTTCCCCGCCACAGACCTCAGGGCTCAGTCCCAGCAGGTGAGTGTTGGGGGGGGGGGGTCCTGCCTGTGCCCAGGTGGGGAGAGGGGGTCAGTGCAGGGCTCGCTGACGTTACTCTGCTTACAGATTGAGCAAAAGCCAAGGAGGTGAGGACGAGGGTCCCCTTAGTGACAAGTGCAGCCGCAAGACTCTCTTCTACTTGATCGCGACGCTCAATGAGTCCTTCCGTCCTGACTACGATTTTAGCACAGCCCGCAGTCACGAGTTCAGTAGGGAGCCTAGCCTCAGCTGGGTGAGTAGGGCCGGGACCTGTGTCCTTGCAGAATCCACAGTGCCCCCACCCCGGTGCCCCAAGTGCCCATGGCCTGACAGGGACCTGCCCTAGGTGGTGAACGCTGTCAACTGCAGCTTGTTCTCGGCCGTGCGGGAGGACTTCAAAGCCCTGAAGCCACAGCTCTGGAATGCGGTGGACGAGGAGATCTGTCTGACTGAATGTGACATCTACAGGTAGGCTGGTGTGTCTGAAGGGGTCCCAGGCCAAGGCAGCACCAGAGGCCTCACTCCTCCTCTTGCCCCCTTCCCCAGCTACAACCCTGACTTGGACTCGGACCCCTTTGGGGAGGATGGCAGTCTCTGGTCCTTCAACTACTTCTTCTACAACAAGCGGCTGAAACGCATCGTCTTCTTTAGTTGCCGTTCTATCAGGTAGACATCCTTCTCTCCTACCTAGCTGTCCATGTTCTCACCCTGCTCCTGACTGGTCAGTTCCCTTTCTTCTCAAGCCTTGAGGGCTAGAGGAAATGACTTAAGAATGACCTCGCTTCTCTCCCAGTGGTTCCACGTATACCCGCTCAGAGACTGGCAACGAGCTGGACATGGAGCTGGGCGAGGCGGAGGAGGGCAGAGGCAGTGAAGGGGGTGCTGAGGAGACCCGCACTGTTGAAGAGGACAGGTGTGTGATGGTAGCTGTGGGTGGGGGCCTCCTGCCTGAGCATCTGGGTTTAACTTCTCAAGGCCTTTGTGTGTCTGCCTTTCTCCAGGGTTCAGGTGATCTGCATGTGATCAGGAGGAGCAGAGACCCCAGCTGCATCCATCGATTCCTGGACATGCCTGCTTGAGGGGCTTCCTCAACTGCTGGCCACAGCCCCAAGGCCACCCCCAGTCCTCTGGCTCTAGCCTGTCAACGTCCTCTTTGGGGCTGCACTGGAAACAGGTGGCCTGCTGGGAAGAGCAACTGCCCTGCCCAGATGAACTGGCACTACAGCAGGGACAACTGAACCACAGAGTTTATTTTTTTATTTTGTATGGGGCCAGCCCAGTCCTAACCCTTAACCCTTCACCCTTCACACTCCAGCTCCGAGAGAGAACCCCACTGCCAGTCCCAACTACAGGCCCCAGCGGTCACTGGCTCGGCCAGACCTGGCATCCACTTGTACCTCCACTTTGTCCATCTGGCCATGTGCACTGAGTGTCACTTTGCTGAAGCTCTTTTGTTTCCAATAAAAGTTTCTGTGACTTGAGTGCTGAGCTGGGGGCGGGGCAGCATGGGAGAAGGCGGGCGGGGGCGGGGCCGCTGCTTCAAGTATCTTAGCAACAGTTAGTGCCGGTGACCACTAGGTCCCCTGAAAGCGGTTGGTGACCTGAAAACTCGTAAAATGGGGTCGGAAGTTTTCAACGCAGACAGCCTCTTCCCAATGGAAGGCAACAACCAGGATCTGGACCTAGGCCTCTTTGAAGAAGACCCAGATCCTGGAGTGCTCGGGGAAAAGAATGGTGAGGCGGTGGGCCCTGCCTCAGGCGTCAGCCTCCGGAGAAGGCGCCGCCCCACGGCACTCCCCTAACCAGACCAGAAGTGGTCTCCAGGCTGCTCAGACTTGAGAGTTGGTGGCCTAATGCCATATGGTGATACCTCTTCCGCTTCCCGCACCCAGACTGCACGCTGTCAGAGACCACGCAGTTCCTGCGCATTTTCACCACCAGCCCGAGGTGGTGCACACTCACCCCACGCTCCAGGGCCCGCCAGCTGTGGTTGCTCCTGCGCGTCGGCCTCCACGACTTGGTGGAAAAGGTGTAGCCCCAAAGCCACCCCTCAGCCCCTTAGGTCCTCGCACCATCCTCCGTGCCCCGCCCACTTCTGTCAGGCGTTCCCCATGCAGGAGCATGCCCGTTACCCCAGTTGACCGCCTCACGAACCCGGTTCTCCATTGACCTCCGACCCACAGGAAAAGAGAGCCGAGCTGCTTGTGACGCGCTTGACACATGGGTTGGAGCCCCTGCGCCGCCTGGAACTGGAGGCCGGGCTGTGTGCGGTGGCACAGGACCCGCTAGGTGGACGCTTGGTGGTGCTGGACGGCAAAGGCTGCCTGCACCTCCACAGAGAGGATGGCTGGGCACGTGAGAAGCTGCTGAGTCCAGCCAAGATCACGGGGCTGGTGGCTGTGCCAAGCCCACTGGGCAATGTGGGCCGCTTTGTGGGCTGGGGGCCCGCGGGCCTAGTTATACTGGGGCCAGACCTTCACCTGCTGTGGCAGAGCACGCAGGAGGTGGGCGGGGTGCAGAGCCTTGAGCCCACATACTGCCTGCTGGTGCCCCCGAGACTTCTGGTCGTGGCCCAGGCAGGAGGTGGCCTGCAGCTCTGGAAGTTCTGCTCAGGTGGGCGCCTTCTGGTACCTCAAGGGCCTTGCCTGCAGCCACCACAGAGTGTCCATGGCTCCCTTACGTGTCTGGCTGCCAGGGCCTCGCAGCCCGCCCATTCCCCACGCTGCTTCGCGGCCTATGGCTCTACGGTTGTCGCTTTGGATCTGCACAGCTGGGCTCTTGTGGATGTGCGCCGGGACCTACACAAAACGTGAGGGCACGCAGGCTGGGGGCGCACGCTAGGCTCAGGGCCCAGCAAAGCAGCAGGCTAAGGGCCCCCCACCTCTGTGCCTGCAGCACCATTTCTGACTTGACGTACTGCGAGGAGGCGAAGGCCATGGTGACAGCTTCCCGTGACAGCACGGTGAAGGTGTGGGAAGTCGACTGGCAGATCCGAACAGTGTTCGTGGGTCACACAGGTGTGCCACACACAGGAGCTCTTGAATCAGATGTTCCTCTGCTACCCTGGCTTTTGAGCACCTCCGCGCTGGACTTACTGCTCCCCGCCTCTAGCCCCGCACCCCAGTGATTCGAGTTCTTCCGCAGGTCCGGTGACGGCTCTGGCGGTACTCCCAAACACTGCCCTGGTGCTGTCAGCCTCCCAGGACGGGACACTGCGCACATGGGACCTGGAGGCGGTCGCGCAGGTGGGCGAGGTAGCTCTGTGCTCTTGGGGCAGTGATACACCACCAGTGCAGGTGCGGACCCTGCTGGCCCCGGCCAGCCCGGGCTGGCCGGTGCTGGCGCTGAGCCGGTGCGGTGCCGAGCTGTGGCGCGTGCGTGAGCTCTACTCGCCGCTCGCGCAGCTGCCCGCGCCCATAGTCCACTTGCAGGTGGTGCCCGCTCTGCCCGCACAGCGGCACCCGCTGCTTCCCGTGCGCCTCGTGTGCTCCTGCGCCGACGGCTCGGTCTGCCTGCTGTCGGCCACCACGGGGCGCACGGTGACCGCGCTGCTGCTGGAGCCGGAGGACTGCGTCGTCGCCGTGGCCTACTGCCTGCCGCTGGAGGCGCTCTGGCTGCTGACGCGAGCCGGGCATCTGTTGCGCTCCAGCGCCGCGCGCTGCCCCATGGCGGTGCTTCATCGAGTGCAGCCCCCGCCGGCCCCTGAGCCGCAGCCCTGCTGCCTGCATCTCTACAGCCACCTGGAGGACCCCGTGGGCGCTCAGGCCTGTTGGAAGCTAGTGTGCCAGCACGGGGGCGAGCTGCCTCGCAGAGATGCGGTGTTGCTCCAGAAGGACAAGAACCGGTCCGCGCGGGAGCCAGCGAGGGCCGGGCAGGCGAGCAGGGGTGGGGCCCTACCAACGCTCCCACTGTTGCCTGCAGGTACCTGCCTGTCGTGGGACACACAGATGGTGCACTGTCCGTGCTTGAGTGGCACTCAGCACGAACTGTCTTTCACACAAAGGCACACAGCCCGGGTCCCGTCACCGCGATCGAATCCAGCTGGAACACAGTGGTGACTTCAGGTTAGTGTCCCCTCAGCCAGCTTGGCCACACGCTCAGGGCCCCTTCCTCTCTCCAAGGCCCGGCCTGCTCCCCACTCCAGGTGCAGACCTGACTGTGAAGATGTGGCGCGTGTTCCCCTACGCGGAGGACAGTCTGAGCCTGCTGCGCACCTTCTCCTGCTGTCACCCGGTGGTGGCACTGTGCATGCTGGGCACGCGCATCATCGTGGGCTTCGAGTCCCCAGACACCGCCACCTATGGTCTGGTCCAGTTAGTCCTGAGGAACCATTTGCGCTATGACCATCGGCCGCAGGACGACCCCTCAGATCCCATAACTGGTGAGCTCACAGGCCTCACTGGCCCCAGCCCCAGATGCACCGGTTTCTGACCTGACCACGTTCTTCTCAGGCCTATGCAGCTGTCCCACACTCAAGCTTTATGCATCCTCCAGCCTGGACTGCACCATCCGCATCTGGACCACCGAGAACCGTCTGCTGCGGTGGGGGCCCCTGCGGGGAGCTGGAGGTGGGACTGGAGGGAGGTGGTCCTGAGGACACCCTGCATGCTCCTGCTCCTGCCTCTGCGGAGAGTGTCTTGCCCCTGCATCCGTCTCAGTTTCCACCCTACGGAGCAGGCCTGGACTCGATCTGCGCACCCCACAGGCTGCTACAGCTGAGCGGCCCCCCCCAGGCCCTGACCTTCTGTAACGACAGTGGAGACCTGGTACTGGCCCTGGGCTCCCGCCTCTGTCTGGTGTCTCACAGGTCCTATCTGCCCACTTCCTACCTGGTCAAGGTGTGACATGTGGGTAGGGCCTGTGGTGAGGATCCAGGTCCCGAGGCCAGAGCTTCAGGCTCCTCCCTTCTGTTCAGAAGCTGTGCCGGGAGTCCCCTGGATTGGTGGATGACCCACCACTGCCACTGACCAGCCAATCATCTCTAACTTCCTCCCAGTTGCAGCGGTTGGCCAGCCTGCATGGGGTGACCAGACTCAGGTCTGCTGCGGCCTGGCCGGGACTCCCTGTAGGCCCCATCCAGCCCCCAGCATGAGGTCCCAGGGCTCTGAGATCTCAAGGGTCACTAGGCTTTTCCACTCCTGGCAGTCCCACTGCTGGTTTCTGGGGCCACCTGGGGCCCTGTTCATCCCCCTACACCTGTGCTCGTCTCTTCCCACAGCACGATGCTATCTTCCACTCATCATCAAAAGGCCAAGTTTCAGCAGTCAGTGCTGCAGGAGGTAGAGTGCTTCCTGTCCATCCGTCCCCTCTACCAAGTGCGTGTGACCCAGGCCTGCGTTCAGGCTCAGACCACACCCCTAGTCCTCAGGTCAAACCTGGGGTCCCATTGGTTGTCTGGATAGCACAAGACGAGGCTGAGGGGGAACATGGATGACCACTGCCCCCTCCCCAGGACTTGGAAGCCTTGGCTGCCCGGGACCAAGATCTTCAGAGACTAAGGTTGGGGCATGTGGTCCCTGTAGTCCGGGCCATGCCATCTTTGAAGCAGCGCCAAGAAGCTTTTGACAACTACCTGCGTCTGATCTATGGGCCTGGCCTGGTGGTAAGTGTGGGGCCTCCCAGAACTCAGACCCAGACCTCACCTCTGTTCTCAGTTCTCTGATGCCCCCATTGGCCATCCCCCACAGGAGTTACAGTCTAAAAGGCCTTCCCAGCAGTGGAGCTACATGACCCTCTCCACGGACTCCAGGACATTGCCCACCGCCAGCTCCTTCCATTGGTGGGCTGAGGACTTCATGAAAGGGCAGCCAATGCCCCCAGTCCTCCCCCCAAAGGACCTGGGCACACTGTGCCAGCGCCTGCTTCGTCCTCCCCGGGTCCCCTTACCCCTTGTCCCAGCCTCCAGGGAGGTTCACAGCCAGGCATCACAGGTGAGAGACCGCCCCCCCCCCCCATGCCTCTGCACTGCCCAGGACATCCTACCCACCTCTTCTCCTCCTGCATCCAGCTGTTGGCCAAGTCCTCGCTGAGCTGCAGTCTGGGACTCAGCCTAGACCTGCAGCTGCAGTCAGATCACTTCTGGAAGGGGGCACAGGTGTTCTTGGAAACCCTGCCCTCTGACCTGCCAAAAAAGGTGAGGATTCCAAGCAGGTGAGGGCCCTGCCTGGAGGTGGAGCTGCAGGGATGCTGCGGTCTTCAGTGAGCTTTGAGCCCTCATCCCATACTCAGATCCTGAGAAGGAGACACCCCAAAGAGCTTCACAGCAGCCCCCAGGGCTTCTTCCCTGCTGCCATCCAGACCCCAAACCAGGTAAGACCTCTCTTGATTTTCCTGCTAGGTACCGTTGTTCACAGTTTCGCTTTGCTACACGGGAGCTGAGGAGGTCTAGTCCACAGGCGGCTGTGCTGTTAACCCAAAGGCAGAGTGTCTCTGACAGCTGGAGTCCCCCAGTAATGCTGACTGAGGGAAGAGGATGGACATTCTCCTCCCACGCCATTTGCAACCTGCGAGAAGCCCCTGGAGGGTCACTGTGAGTCAGTTCCAACCTGACAGCAATGCGGCAGTGATCCTGAGAGAGCCTTTACTTGCCCACGTGCAGCCCAGAGGACCAGGGCCTAGTCCCCTCATCTCAATGCCAAGTCCAGGGGCAGCTGCCCTGTGGGGACAGCCCCCTGCTGCTTTGGGAACCAGCACCTCCTTGGCTCAGCCCAGCCAGGCCCTGGTCTCCCAGTGGCTGTGACATTGAGCTGTGCCTGCACACCCCCCACCTTGGGAATGTGACAGGTGTGGGTGTGCAACCCACAGCTTTCCCATTGCCCACTCCAGGTGCTTGGGTAGGCCACGGACCCTCGTGGGTGGCTTTTAAAGCGTGTTGTGTATCAGGAGGGTAGGAGCCCATCCACTCTTGGGCGTGAAGTGGGGGGAGCCACTCTCGAGAAGGGTGGAGGGTCTCTGGGCCTCTAACCTGCCTCTGCCACATCCACATCCTCCTCCCACCCAGAAGCTGAGGCTGCAGCCCATCCTTTCCTCGAGCTTCATCCCCAACTCGGTCGTGCTGCAGCACCTGTGGCAGCAGGAGGAGATGGGGGGCCTTGGAACCCTTGTCCACCTCTCCCCAGATGACAGGCACAAGGCAAGCTGTTGGTCTGAGGAGCATCCCTGGTGGTGGGCAGGAAGGGCCTGGTCTGTGCAGCCAGCCTCACCTCTTCTGTCCATAGCCCAGAGCCAGCTGGGACAACCTGCGGCTGAGCCAGACCACCAGAAGGCGTTCCTCCAGGTGGCAGCACAGGCTGCTCCACCTGCTGGAAGAGAAGCTGGAGGTGGAGGATGAGGAAGAGGAGGTTGAGGAAGAAGACAAGGAAGAGGAGGGAGAAGATTGGATCCAGGTCCAGACCTTCCACAGCTGGCAAATGTCAGGCTCCAAAGAGTCGTTGCAGGGATCAGAGTCAGAGGCTAAGGTAGGAACCCTGCCAGGGTGGGCAGGTGGGCTGTGAGCCCTGGGCAAACCTACACTGCGTGCCTTCCCCAGAGCATACCGCCTCCTGGACCCCACACCTCCCACTTCTCCACGCGTCACCGCCTCCGCCACCGGAGCTCGCCTTGGGAGAAGCGCCTGGCTCACCTGCCCGGTTTCCTGCAGTACTTCGTCAGCCAGAACTGGTTCAAAAAGCTCTTCCCCACTTTCACCCTGGAGGTGTGTCGGGCCTGCTGACAGGCAGCAGAGGGGCAGAGGGCAGGGCAGCAACAGTAGCACCTGTCAGCACCGATTTTGCAGGCTTACCCTGAGATGAGCACAGTGGAGGGCCTGGCCTCTCTACTCATGGACCTGCTGGAGGGGGCTTCGTGGGATGAAGGTGTCCACATCCTGGCAGCTCTGCTGAGACTGCTGCCGGAAGTGAGCGGTGACCTGTGTCGGCATCTGCAGGGCATCCTGGTGCACTTGCTCAACCTGGACCAGCCTCCCAGCCTCCAGGTGTGCTCCCCCGTCCTGCGCCCCACAATGGCCACACTCTCCTCGTTCTGTCCTCACCTTGCACACTGACCACCCTCTCTGCCCCCACCCTTCCTGCTCTGACAGCCCTCTGCCCCACCCCCGCCTCGCACCCCACCCCTGCACTGACAGCCCTCTGCCCCCCACTCAGGACCGGACGCAGAAGCAGTTTGTGATGCTGGCCTTGCAGCTGCTCCTGGCCTGCACCCTGGAGTCTCGAGACGTGGTACTGGAGCTCCTGTCCTACTTCCTCTACTCACCTGCCGAATGCCAGTGAGCCCCACAGGCCCCCTGCCCCTCTCTCCTGCTGGCTGAAGACCTCTGTCAGCCTCCCACTGAGCTACAGACCTCTCACCCAGGGCTGAACTCAGGAAGCTGCTGTATGCCTTAGGCCTCCAGGACCCACAGGGCATCTTGTTCAAGGAGATGAAGACCTGGGTCCCAGGCAGCCAAATGGACTCCAAAGCCTGGCTGCGCAATTGCTGCCACCAGAAGCTAGAGGATATGGTCCAGAACTTGCAGGTCGAGACTGGCCGGACCTGGGTAGGGGGTTGAGACTTCCTTCCCACTCAGATTTTCCTGAAGTCCAGGTGGGAGGGCCAGGTGAGGCCAGCAGGCTCCGATGCCTTCCTGGCCCTCTCACCATCATGGTCTCTCAGAATCTCACAGATGTTCTCAGACTGCCTGAAGAGGAGCCTCAGGCTTGGAGGCAGGACAGCACCTTAAAGAGCACCCTGTCGAGGGCAGGACAGCCTCTTCCTTGGGCTGTGACACCACCAGAGGACACCATAGAGGCACGTCTTGGCTCAGCTGCCTCCTCCGCCGATGGAAGGCTCGAGTCTGTTCGTGATGATAATAGGGCTCTTGGAAAAGTCCCTCCCCAAGGTGAGCATGTGGCATCTCCTTATGTCCTGGGGATGTGTTGGACCATCTTCTGGCTGCACTCACACATCTCTGGATCCCTTGCAGTAGAGCTGGGAACAGCCCCTCAGAAGTCACTGACCAAGCCATCCCTGGTGCAGCAGAGCCGCTGGCACACCCGGCAGACTCTCTCAGATTCACTACAAGCCTTCCACATGGTGCCTGAGGTTTTGGCACGCTCCGTGCCTGCCAAGGCACAGGATCTGTCAAAGATGTTCGAGCAGATGCACGGGGTGGGCTTGCATGGCCTGCAGCTGCCTCTCGAGCAGACCCAGTGGTCGCAAGCACAGCTGATGGACATGGAGTACATTGATGCACTCAACCTCTTCTGTGAGCGGCAGCTAGCGCAGCAGTGGGGTCTGCGGCAGGAGGAGCCCAAGACTGAGACCAAGCACGAGTCCCCAGTCAGACATGTACCCAACACTGTGGTGCCACAGCCCCTGGACCGCCGGTGCGTGCCTGGTGGGGGCAGTGGATGAGCCCTCGGGAGGGCAGACTCAGCAAATCTATCCAAACTGCCTCCTTTTCTGCCAGGTACCATCCTGTCCCCCGCCTCCAGGAGCCCCAGGTCCAGATCCCAAGAGGTCAGTGTGTGACGGGATGGAGAGTAAGCCTGCCCTTCTGCAGCTCAGCTCGTCCCACTAGGTGCCAGTCCCACCCTCTCCCACCTTGCCCCACTGCCTGCCCTCAGGCCGGAAGCAGCCCTGGCTCTGTGCAGGTGGCCCTCTGCGTCTGCTGAAGCTCCCACTGCCCCGGGTGGAGCCACAGCCTTTCCCTCCTGACTGGCCAATGCCAGCCCGCCCACTCCCCCCGCTGCTCCTGCAGCCCTCCCTGCAACGCTACTTTGTACCTGACAAGGCAGACCCGGACAAGTACAGCTGACCTGGGGGCTCCCAGCGCCCCTAGTCCAGATGATACACACCAGGGCTTGGGCTGGAATAAAGTCCTGAGGCTGCAGCCAGCGAACTGGGTGCTATCTCCATCTTTAGGGGCACTGGGGTGGGTAGGGCAATGAACTTGTGTCCTGAACTCTGGCAACCAAACACATGTGGAGGCAGGAGCTGGGCAGTGGGGCCTAGCCTAGCAGGGAGCCTGAGAGTCACCTGTAGAGGAGCACTGCCCTCGGGGGGTGGGGGTGGTGATGAGGCATGACCAGTGGGGTGTCAGTAGCTGGGGGCACAGGTCTGCAGGTGTTTCTCTGGTTCAGGTTGAGTGGTAAGACATTCAGGGGGTAATCTGGGTGGCTGCAGGGCTGTGGTCCTCTGACCTGGGTGAGACAAGGACCATGCTGGAACCTGGCTCTGTGTCACTGGATGAGCAAACTGCAAAAGGGGCTGCCAGTGCTGGACAGGGTCCTGGCTGGCTTGGCTGGCTGTTCTATTGCTGGGCAGAGCCTGTTCTGCTGGGCTGTCTGAGCAGCCAGTTCCTCTCCTGTCGGTCTCTCTCTACACTGCTCTCCATGAGTCTCTTCTTTATGACATTAGAATTTACCTCCTATACCTGGCCCCAACTCTGCCCAGCCCCCAAATGCAGACTTTCATTGGGGGGGGTGTGGCTTTTAAAACTGGAAACATGGAGATGTAGGGAAGAACACAAAACAGGTCACAAAAAGCATTGACAAAGGAAAATATTGATGTATTTATTAATATATGCCTCCATAGAGTTATTTTCTTGATTAGGAAATCTGTTCACAAAGGAAAATACTAACATTTAATAATACTTCATCAGACATACTTTGGGCATATTGCTTTGTTCTTGTTATGTGCTGTCGAGTCGGAACTGACCCATAGCTAACCTTCTGGTGGGTTTTCAGAGGCAGTTAATCACACGGGAGGAGACTGTCAGTCCTCCAGCAGAGCTGGTGGATTCAGTCTGCGCACCTGTGAGATTGCAGTGCAGCTTCTTGCCAATAAGAGAGGCTTTTCCTTGGGGAAGGACATCATGCTTGAAAAGGTAAAGGGACAGCAAAGGAAAGGGTGGCCCTCAACCAGGTGGGCTGAAACAGTAACTGCAGCAAGGGGCTGGAGTGTGTTAGTGATTGTAAGGATGGCACAGGATCGGTCAGGTTCAGATCTGTTCGTACGGTCACTGTGAGGGTAGTACTTGACTCAACAGCACTGATCTAACAATAACAATACACAGTTATGGTGGTGGCTTAGTGCGTAATATGCCAGGCCCTAATCAAAAGGTTAATGGTTCAAATACACAAGAACTACCTGGAAGAAAAATGGGATGTTTCCTTCCATAGGGACTTGTTGTTAGGTGTCGTTAAGTCAAGTGCATCTCACAGCAACCCTCTGAATAGCTACCCTGAACCCTGTCTATCCTGTGCCATCGTTACCATCTCGGAAATACTCAAGCTCATTGCTGAAGTCACCATGTCAGTCCATCTCATTGAAGTTCTTCCTCTCCTTTGCTGATCCCTGTCTTTTCAAGCATGATGTCCCTCTCCAATGAGTAGCCTTGACCTGCTACATGTACAAAGTATGGGAGACTTAGAGTCTTGGGGACCTGATGGAGCACACTATTGACACAGCGACAATGCTTAGGGAAGCAGATCAGTAACACATAGTTATCTCCTAAAATGTCTCAATATCACAGACGGAATTAACAAAACACTGACATAGTTATTATACATGCTAATATTGTGTTCTGTCTTCCAAATTTGCTAGCATAGACTAGCATGCAGGTCCGGGGCTGGATGTTATTGTTGTTGTTATTGTGTGCCATTGAGTCGCTTGTGACTCATAGCGACCCTATGTTCAAGAGCCCTAAATGCTGTTCTATCCGATGCCAACCTCGCTGTCTCAAACACACTCATTCCTACCACTCCACTCACAGAATTGATCCATCTCATCCAAGGTCTTCCTCTCCTGCGCTGTCCCTCCACTCTCCCAAACATGATGTCCCTCTCCAAGGACCAGTCCCTCCTTGCAAAATGCCCAAAGTATGTCAGACGAAGTGTCAGAATCCTTGACTCCAGGGAACATTCTGGCTTCACCCTCTCCAGGACAAACCTGTTTGTTCTCCTAGCAGTCCATGGTATATTCAACACTCTTCTCCAGCACTACAGCTCAAAGGCATCAATTCTCTTTCTATTATCCCTATTCACTGTCCAACTCTCCGATGCATAGCACATAATTGCAAAGACTATAGGCTGGACCAGGCACACCTTAGTCTCCAGCCTGACGTCGTTGCACTTCAGTACTCTTGAGAGGTCCCTCACAGCTGACTTTCCCAATGCAATTCATCTCCTGATTTCCTGGCTGCTGGAACCAAGTAAACTAAAACTGTTAACTATCTCAATCTCTTCACCATCCATACTGATGCTGCCAATTGGCCCAGTGGTGAGAATCTTTGTTTTCTTGATGTTGAGCTTCAATCCATATGGAAGACTGCAGTCCTTGACCTTCTGCAGCAAGTGCCTCAGGTCAAGTTTGCTGAAATTGGTATTCTGTGAATTCCTGGAGCCTTATTTTTTGCCCATGCCTTCAGTGCAACTTTGACGTCTTCCTTCAGAACCATTAGTTCTTGGTCATATACAACTTCCTGAAATGGTTTAGTGTCAACCAGTGACTGTATACATTCCTCTTCTTTTAGCTCCTTCTGCTGGTTCCTGCATTACTCAATATTTTGCCTGTAGAAAAGTCAGTAATGGAATAGGAGGCTGGAGTTTTTACTCTTCAGTTCTTTGAGCTTGCAAAACGCCTAGCAAGTTCTTGCTTTTTATTTTTCTAACTCCAGATCTGCACATTATATTTTGCTTTGTTTTCTAGTGCTGCCCTTTGAGATCTTCTGCTTCTCTCTCTCATTTCTTCCTTTTACTTTGTTGTTGTTAAGTGCTGTCGAATCAACTCTGACTCATAGTGACCCTCTGTACAACAGCTCTGAACCCTGCTCTATCCTGAGCCAATCTGATCATCTCTGATACACTGACCCCCATTGCCTTAGTCATTATGTCATTTCATCTCATCCGGGGTCTTCCTTCCTCTCCTGTGCTGTCCTCCACCCTTCCAAGCATGATGTCCTTCTCCAAGGACCAGTTCTTCCTGTCCATGTGCCCAAAGTATCTGAGATGGAGCTTCAAAATCCTTGCCTCCAGGGAGCACCCTGCTTTCACCATCTCCAGGATGGCAGTCCTTGGTATGTTCAGTACTTTTCTCTAGCACCACAACTCAATGGTATCAATTTTTCTTCTATCATCTTTATTCATTGTCCATCTCTCTGATGTGTAGCAAGTAATTGTGAAGACCATGGCTTGGATCAGCGTCTTAGTCTCTAGACTGACAACAAATGCTTTAGGTCCTCTTCACTTTCAGCAAGCACAAGTTTCAGAGTCCTTTCCGACATTCTGGTCATTTCTTGACAGGAAAACAAATGTGCGGCGGGTGGGAGGGGGGAAGCCAACACTCCAGAATGGGTACTTTGAAAAGTAATCAGTTAAAATAGCATGCGTGTAGATGTATATGAGGTAGTGTGCATCAGAATCAACTGCGTAGGACTGCTGTCTGTCAGTAAGACTGGCCATCCACTACTGAAATAGCAGGCCCTCCAAAGCCCTGTGAAACCACTGGAACATTGGTCACCATGGTGCCAGAAGAGGCCCTCGTGCTGGGAGGCACTTACAATGTGACTAGGGAAGAGGTGCCTCATCAAACTAGACTCCAGCTCAATAACACTGACGGAGGAAAGCTTTCACCCAATGAAGCACCTTCATTTGCTCATGTGGCATCAAAATAGAAGAAACAGCTGCCAAGTGGCACAATGACTGCATCAATGGGCTTGAGCATGGTGGCAGTTAGGAAGAGGGCACAGGATAGGGCTAGGATTCAGTTTCTTGTTCTTGGGGTCACTATGACTTGAGGTTAACTCCATGGTACCTACCAGCAACTTCTAACAATACAAACACATGTACAGGTGTGTGTGAAGTTTCTCTGCCTATTATGAATCAGAAAAAAAGCAGGTTAAGTCATGATAAACCTCCACAATGTTTATCAGATGGAATAGGGTCACAAAAGTGGGCATCAAAACATGAGGATGTAGAGGCAGAAACTGATGATTGCTGGGGCAGAGTCACCTCAGGGATCTGGACATCTGTGTTCCTGCAGAGACTCCACTCAATATACCCTTGAAAAGGGCACACCCAGGCTTGAGGCTACATGGAGAAAGTATGTTGAAAACAACATAAAACTGGAAATGGCCCAACTGTCCATCATCTTAGGAATTGATGGGTAAGTGGTGACAAATCACGCAGTAGAACTCTCTCTGGTGACAAAAAGGACAGACTGGGACCATTTGCAAGAATATGCATGAATTTTAAGCCCACTGCTGAGTGAAAGATTCTGTCATTTATAGAGTTTAGGAAGGAAAAAAGTGGAATTATCAAGAAACACATAATTAGGTGGTACAATTCCAAGCCAAGACATCTCTCTGAAATTAAAATTTAATTGGTTATCTCTCTTAGCATTTTGATGTATATGTCATATGCCATGAAATTCTCCCACCAAAGTGCAGCTCCATAGTTTATAGTGTGTGCTCTGTTGTACAGCAATCTGATTATTCACAATCTAACTTGAGATAATTTTCATCACACCAAAAAGAAACTCTACCTATTAAAAGTTACTTCCCAACTCTTCAGTCCTCAGGCCCAGGCAAACAAAATCTACTTCCTGTGACTTTGCCTTGTCTGTGTATGTCGTCCGAATGGACTTGTGCCATACACGGCCTTTTGTGATGGCTCCTTTCATTTTCTTATTGTGTCCCAGGTCATAGCAGACATCAGCACTTCATTTCTTTTTTTGGCAGAACATACACTGAGTTGAGTAGTGAACACAGTCACTGTCAGAAGCCTGGCAGTTTAAATCTATCCACAGACAACTGGGAAGACAGGCTGGTGGTCCCCTTTGAAAGGCCACAGCTTCAGATGCTCCGTGGAGCAGTTCTCAGCACACCTGGGGTCATTGTGCACTGGTATTGACTGACCCCAACCCTATTCCTCATGCTCACACATCACATTCATCCATCCACTTACCAGCTAGCTGGTGGACTCTGGAGTTGTTTCTCATTTTGGATACTATAAGTAGTGCTCTTTTGAAATTTGTGTTCAGGTTTTTGTAAGAACATGAGATTTGAATTCTTTTGAGTATGTGCCTTTCAAAAGACTTGCTTCATATCTTACCTTTTTTTAAAATGGAATTTAATTTTATTATTTTTTTTATGTGTATACTGTCAAATCGGATCTAACTGGTACAGAAGATTGCCCCTCCTTCTCCAGCAGAGCATCTGGTGGATTTGAACCAAACGCCTCTGGGACTGCAGTACAGCTTCTTGCCACTAGGCCACCAGAGCGCCCTCATATCTTACTTTTAAAGGAATTCTTCCCACCCCATTACTTTCCTACCAGCAATGCTGGAGGCTTCCAGTTTCTTTACATCATCACCCACATTTTCATTATTCCATCCTAGGGACTTGCTATCCATGTTTGCCACCCTCTCTACTGCAGAGTTCTGGTGGCCGAGTGGCAAGAAGCTGTGCTGCAATCCTGAAGGCACGTGGTTTGAATCCATCAGCCGCTCTGTGGGAGAAGGATGGGAAATCTCCTGTGCGGTTAAATGCCTCTGAAAACCTGCCAGAGGGTCAGTTCTGATTTGACAGTACACAACAACAACAACACTTTAGGAACTATAAGGTCTGGAAGAAAACTGAATGAGGGACCCTGAACCTTAAGCTGCATTGTTGTTAGGTGCCATTAAGTACAACTCATAGAGACCCTGTGAACAACAGATCTGAACCCTGTCCTATCCTGTGTCATTACTGTCCCTAAATCAGGAAGGTGTGTGTCAGGGCTGCACCCTTCCTCTACACCTATTCAATCTGAGGATAAGCAATAATTCAAGAGGACGGATTCTATGAAGAAGAGTGTGGCATCAGACTTGGAACAACAACTTGTGTTAATTAAGATGACACACCCTTGCTTGTTTAAAGTGGACTTGAAAGGCTTGCAGCAGCCCATCAAGGTTCCAGTCTTCAATATAGATTACATCTCAACATCAAGAAAACAAAAATTCCATCCAACCATTGGCCTGCCAGCTCACCCATTGGCCTCTCTACTGGGTGCTAACAAAGCTCTCATCGCTTCTTTACTTGGTCTGTGTCTGTCTCTCTTTCTATGTCTTGGCAGCTGCCAGCCGGCGGACAGCATGGCCATTCCAGCCTCCCACACTGAGGCCAGGCCTACTCCCCTCCCCGTCATACCCTCCC